CAATTGTTCTCTGAAGAATTGGTTTTTAATTATTATTATTTTTTTCTTCATCCGCCACTTTTTTCTGACGGTGCTTTTTTGTGTCGCAAGATATTGCTTAGATTTTTTGCGTATGATATCGAACAGTTATTACGATTTTGAAACTGACCCTGTTAAGCCCAACACTTTTTATTGTAAGAGTTATCTCCCCAAACACGGTTTTTCTTGTGTACAATCTCCTTCGCAACCATTAAAGATTATGACAAAATTATTTCACCAATTTGCTCATTATATCTTCAGGATCTTAAAAATAATTTCGACAGAAGCGGTCCGGAGACTACATATGGGAGTTATTTCCCCTTTTGTATTTCTAATAAGAAAAATGTAGTTGTAGCTTGTAAACCATAAGTGATAAAGACCTAGGGTGTTTTGATTTGAGATCCTTGGTCCAAAAAGACAGTAAATAGGGTCAAGGTCATTTCTTACTTTCGGTTTTTGCTTTTTTTTCACCACTGTTCAAACACGATACAAGATATCGACAACATATTTTTACTTAATTGTTAGTTGCGACATGTCGTTACACATACATATTGGTTTAAAGGGTGCGCTTACATCAAATTAGAGTTTTCTCCTTACTTTTTTTAAAAATATGCATATGGTGAAATAACTCATGAACCAAATATAATTAAGATCTAGGGTCTTTTGACTTGAGGTCCTTGGTTGATGACCTTGAAATTGAGCCCAAGGTCATAGGTTAAATTGACGTTCTAGATTTTGACCTTTGCTTTTACCTCATATGTGTACATGATAAAGCCATGGAACTTTTTGGATTTAGTTGCAAGCCATATGACCTTGAAAAAGGAACCGGAAGTGACCCTGTGTAAACCGGAAGTAGCTATTTTTGTATACTTTTTGAATGTAAAAGTATATAGAACCATATATTTTTGGAATCAGTGTCAATTAAACAGTTGAATAATACCTGAAGTAACCTTTTCCAAACCGGAAGTAACAAATTATCTCCCTTATGTAAAAAACATTGTATAGAAACCATATATTTTTGGAATCAGAATACTATAAGCTATCATTTAACGCTGTTAATGACATTTTAAACCGAATTTTTACTATTTTCATATCAAAATACTTGTTTTTTTGTGGAAAGACCTTCAATTGGTCTTTGAACAATTGGTTTTTAATTATTAGGTCTTTCCACTTTTCGTGGATAGACCTTTTGTTTTTCTTCTGATTTTTTTTTCTTCTGCCGTCTGAGATGCTTTTTTGTTTAACAACTTATCGAAAGGATTTTTTGGCCAATAATGTCGTACAGTAATGGGGATTATAAAACTCACCCTGTGTAACCGAACACTTATTCTTATAGGAGTTATCTCCCCGCATCCTTTTTTTCTTATTATCTTTATATCTCTGAAACTGTAAAAGATTTTAACAAACTGTTTTCACCAAATTGTTTGTCTGCTCTTAAGAATGGTTTGATTAAATTTAATTGATGTGATTGGATGACATCTTATGGGAGTTATTTCCCTTTGAAAATTTAACATAGGTGATATGTTGGATAAATTCATACATTATAAGTCATAGAAGCCTAAAGTCTTTAGATATGAAGTCCTTGGTCCATTTGGAGGAAATTGAGGTCAAGGTCAAAGGTCAAGGTCATGTTCTAAATTTTGATTTTGGCTTGTTATCACTTATTTTCAGAAATCTTATAAGATATCGACAAAATATTTTCACACAATTGTTATTTGCGACATGTCGTAACACGTAAATTTTAGTTGAAAGGGTACGTAGCAATTAATGGGAGTTTTCCCCCCTTTTGTATCTAATATTAGTCGTATGGTAATATTAATCATTAACAATATAAAGTAGAGGCCTAGAGTCTTTTGATTTGAAACCCTTGTTTCATGACCTTGAATTTGGGGTCAAGGTCAAAGCTTGATTTGATGTTACAGATTTTGACCTTTGCTTTTACAATTAATTTATGCATAATAAACCTATGGGACTTTGTGCATTAAGTTGCAAGTCATATGACCTTGAAGAAATCAAATGGAAATGACCTTTTGTAAACCGGAAGTGGCATTTTTTGTACTTATTTATCGTAAAAGTACATAGAACCATATATTTTTGGAATCAGTGTCAAGTAAACTATAAAATGAGACATTTTTCAAACCGGAAGTAACAACTTATCTCCCTTATTTCAAACAAAAGTGTGTAGAAACCATATATTTTTAAATTCAACGTACAATAAGCTATCGTTTGGCACTGAAAATTACATTTTCTACCAAGTTTTATTATTTTTAACATCAAAATATATCGTATCGGATGGAAAGACCTTCAATTGTTCTCTGAACAATTGGTTTTTAATTATTATCATTATAATTTTCCGCCAAACTTTGACGAAGTTAGCAGCCTTAACCGTAAGACGTGTCGCTTTCATGATCACATTTTGTATCGGTGACTTGAATACCTATCCGGAACTCACCCTGTGAGTCGTAAAATTTTGTCGGTTCGCAATTATCCCTCCGAAACCTAAAAACCATGTTATCATTTAAACACCGTAACCGTAATAGGTAGAAAAAAAACCGAAGGGTGAAATTTGTTCAGGACCAGACCCCGATTCTTCGTTACATTTGGATTGAAAAGATTCAACGACTCATTGGTAGGGTTGTGCCCCTATGAAAATTAACCGCAGTCGGTTGGCCCCAAAAACCGTAAGTCGTAGACACCTAGGATCTTCACCAATCATCATCAATTGATGTGACTCTGAAAAATATCTCAAGGTCAAATTTGTATGTTGACCTTGACCTTTGACCTAACACCTTGTTATGGGATAATCTCAGAAACCATTATACTTACAGAAGTTTTGAATAGTGGAAAATGTTTGGGTCATTAAGGCGCAACTTTGTTACATTTTGACCGATGAGATTTTACCTTTCTGTTAGGGGCATAACCCCTATTTTAGGTTTCTGAAAAGACAAAATCAGCTTTTACTATATAACCAAAGGTCCTAGACCCATGGGGTCTTCAGCAATGACAGTTGGGACCAATGATCTTGACAAAGGTCACAAGGTTAAAGGTCAAGGTCATGTCCCAGATAACGAATTATGTGTTTTTGACCTTATTTAGAGGATTTTCAGTGTGTTTTAAAGCTTTTTAAGGTTGACCTTGACCTTTGACCTAACCACTTTTCATTGGATATCTCAAAAACGATTATACTTACAGAAACAGTAAATAGTGAAAAATGTTTAGGTCATAGAGGCAAAACTTTTTTTTACATTATGACCAAATATATTTGACCTATCTGTAAGGGGCATAACCCCAATTAACTGTTTCTGAAAAGACAAAATTAGCTTTTACTCTTGAACCAAAGGTCCTAGACCCATGGGGTCTTTTGTAATGACATCCTGGACCAATGACCTTGACCAAGGTCAGAACGTCAATGTCAAGGTCATGTCCCAAATAGCGGACTATGTGTTTTTTGTCATATTTTAAGGGTTTTAAGTGTGTTAAAGAGCGTTTCAATGCATTCTACGCCTATTGAAACATATTTTACATTATGAAAAAGAAAGACCTCTCATTTGTTCAAGAACAATTGACATTTTAATTATTATTATTATTATTATTATTATTATTATTATTTTATTATTATTATTATTATTAAGCCCCCTGTTGCATCATATAGAAATACCATGCATCCATTGAGTCGGTTACATACACAATCAACTACTTTTTGATTAGCTATTTGTGTGCATAGATGTGGTATTAATACATCAACTTACATAAGTATGCATAGTTAAAAGAAACCTCTATTAGTCAAAATACAAATATCAAGTTAAGGAATATGAAATTACCGATACCGATTTTTATGGTTTTATGTTCTAATTTCTGGACATTATTCTCAATCGATAAAATTAAGTTAGATAGAATATAAAAAAAACATGAATAAGTACTATGTGAAAAACTTATAACATACCTTATTAGCATATATGATCTAAAACAAAACTGTTTCTGAATATTTGACTATGAAATAGGAACAAAGTGACCTTTTCGTATTTAACTTTCTTTGATCCACATGTGACCCTATTGTGTTACGGTTATACCTTGTAGGACATGTTTATCAAAATCCGATAAATATGATTTTTTTTGGATTTTTATTTTAATTCCCTTTTATTTTTTTTCTTTATTTTTTTTGGCTTTTTGTCTTTGATGTTAAGTTAAAGAGGTAGAGCAAATTTTCACAATTTTTACAATCTTTTTAATTAAATTTGTCACCACTCCATGTGTGAACTTCGAGATTTTTTCAAAATAATGACTCATATCTATAAAGATGATGAAGTAATAAATGCCGAAAGATAGCTTTTTTTCGGCAATTTTTTAGCATTTGTTCAAAAATTGTTAAAGAAGGACATCCAAAACTAAACCATAATTATTTTCAAAGAAAGATAAATTCGCGCCTTCTGTCTAACCTATGTTTTATACTCATAAACTTTAAGGTCTGAGAGCAACAATGATCCCAACCTGGAAATTTCTGAATAAATGTAAACAAAAGTCTATTAACAAGCAAATGTTCGTTGTTTTTATTGAAGTTTTCTATAATACGAAGTTTTTAAGGATTTTAAGTTATTGTTACATCAATTTCAAAAAATAGAAAAACATGAATATCCGAATTTAATTTCAATAATGGTTAGGTATTAACAAACTTTAACAATAAATTCCTTTTTTATTACAAATTTGACCAAATTAATGGATATGAGTGAAGCGATTACAAAAAAAATCATTCATACGTCAAAAGTCGACTTGAGTAGCAATGGTTGTTTCTTTCCCATCTGAGTTCTTCTGTTGTGTTTTTCTTTTTTGTATTTACAAATATTCAATCGTTGACTTTCAGTACGGCATGGAAATATTTTTGTAGTTTTCCAGATGCTTTATTTAGTATTTTTTATGTACATTGTCATAATGCTGATTTATGAAAGTGGCTCTATAGTGGTAAGTAAAGTTTACAGAACAATTCATTGTGTTTAAATTTCTTTAATGACATTAACTGGACATGTATATCCGTTTCACACTGCTTTCTAACCTATCTGTCATCCATTGAACGGACGGCAGTCTGGTCCCTATAGGAAAAGAAAAAAAAACATTTTTACGACTGGATACATTTTTATAATTAATCCCGAAAAATTACTAGCAAAGCATTTATTTAATTTGCAAAATATAGCTTTTATATATATATCATAGGTTTGAACGTTGTTTTCAATTTAGACTTGTTTATATTTTTTCGTTTGGGCTTGTATTATATTAATCGGGAATGGTGTGAATGTATGGTGTACGACATTTAAAACTATGCAAAATATTGATAAGAACTGATTTTTAACTTTATACGTTAATTTACAATATTGTGATCAAAATTCGTTTTTTAAAATAAATAAATAATTTTGTAGTCGCACGCTTTCTTTGAAATTAAATTGCATTATGGTGTAATGTGTAAGGTGTATAGTGCAAAGGTGTAACGTGTATGGTGTAATGGCACAGGGTGTATGGTGTAATGGTGTGTGGTGAATGGTGTAATGGTGTATGGTGTTAGTGGGAAGTTTACACCATCCAAGGACTGTATATATATATATAACTCGTCTAAACCACAGCCCAACAATGTTAGATCTGTAAATTTGCGGAAGCAAATTTGTTTGTTCTTTCCTGGCCGGGATTCGAACTCATGCTACTGAGATATCGTGCCACCAAATAGCCTTGCACTATGCCCGACGCGCTAGACCACTCGACCACCTAGGCTCTATAATAATAAAGCTTTCGGTGGCCGGGTGTTACCTTTCCTCGTCAGTTTTTATCTAGCGTCGTAACACAGTACATGATATATAAGGAATGAAGATGGAATTGTTACAGATCAGCTGAGTTATCTATTGTAAAGGATCCTACAAATTAATGTAAGATGCAGTCACAGAAATAATTATATTATAAGTACGTCTGAACCAGTGATGACTCTATAACAGATTTTATCCATCGGATCACCAGCAGTGATGGTGATACAAGGCTATATATATATAAAGTGCCTAGAAAATCAACCTAACGATGTTAGAGGAGATCTGATTCTTTACTTCCTCCCCAACTGGGGCTGGAACCTGTACTTTTTACTTCTCACATATACGGCAACACCGCCTATCATTGCGCAGACGCCTCTTCTTACTATAGCTGATAAAAAAATCAGCTTTCGTTTCGGGAGGTGTTACCTTCTCGCAGATATTAAACATGGACGACTAATCACAATACACTAAGTATCTTTAAGTGTACAGGAATGATCATCTACTCATCTCTTCAGTATAATTGCAGGATGCTATTCTATTTTTAGAAGCATACAATCACTATGTATAGATATGTCTGCCTATGTGTAGTGACAACTGCAAATTATACCTTGTCCGTCGGATTTCTTATGATTAAGAAATACCAGGCGTTAAAATATTTATAAAGTGCCTAGAAAAATCAACCTAACAATGTTTGAGGAGATCTGATTCTTTAACTTCCTCTCAAACCGAGGCTGAACCATGTACGTTTTACTTCTCATCTCTACGGCAACAACGCCTAGCATTGTGCAGACGCCTTATTGCCTCCTATAACTTAAGCTGATAAAAATCAGCTTTCGTTTCGGGAAGTGTAACCATCTTGTAGGTATTCAACTTGGACGACTAATCACAATACACGAAGTATCTTTAAATGTACAGGAATGATTATCTTCTCATCTCTTCAGAATAATTGCAGGATGCTATTCTATTTTTTGAAGCATATAATCACTATGAATGTATTTATAGATATGTCTGCCTATGTGTAGTGACAACTGCAAATTATTCCTTGTCCGTCGGATTTCTTATGATTAAGAAATACCAGGCATTAGAATATTTATAAAAGAGGGACGAAAGATACCAGAGGGACAGTCAAACTCATAGATCGAAAACAAACTGACAACGTCATCGCCAAAAATAAAAAGACAAACAGACAAATAATAGCACAGATGACACAACATAGAAAACTAAAGACTAAGCAACACGAACCCCACCAAAAACTGGGGGTGATCTCAGGTGCTCCGGAAGGGTAAGCAGATCCTGCTCCACATGTGGCACCCGTCGTGTTGCTTATGTTATTACAAATCCGGTAAATAGTCTAATTCGGTAAGTCACATTCGTGAAAAGGGAAGGGTATTGTAGTTACGACATAAGGAACATATCCGATATCATCTGTGAAACGGTTATTCCATAACGGTCAACCAACTCGTGATGGCGTCCGTAAAATTTACGAAGGGATGACTTCAACTTCACCATTTGGAACTCTTGGTTTAATAGCTTCCTTGTGAGCAGCAATACTCTATCAAGGAAATCATGATAGGAAACACAAGCCCGGGAATATCGTATCAATTGGGAGATATATACTCCGTATGCAGGCGCTGCTGGAATGTTGCTACATAGAAATGGAAAGTTCACAATTGGGAAGCTGAAATCATCTCTTTTGTCGTAAAGTTTTGTTTTCAACCGACCCTCATTGTCAATTTCTAGATGTAAGTCAAGATATGAGGCAGACCTAACTGTATCTGTAGTATCCTTTATCTCTAGTTCGATGGGATAGATTCGTTCAACATAGTTACCAAATTTTGTATTATTTAGTGAGAGAACATCATCTATATAGCGGAACGTAGAGTTAAAGGATATTGCTAACTTCTTATCTCTCTTCCTAAGAAGCTCCTGTATGAAGTCAGCCTCATCATAATAAAGTCTGCAAGAAGAGGGGCACAATTGGTTCCCATTGGAATTCCGACAGTCTGTTGAAAAAAAAATGCCTATAAAATCAACCTGACAATGTTAGAGTAGATCTGATTCTTTACTTCCTCCCCGAGTTGGCCTGGATCCTGTACTTTTCACTTTTCACTTCTACGACAACACCGCCTCCTGATATATATGCATATATATAATTCGTCTCAAATTTAACCCAACAATGTTAGATCTTCAAATTTGCGTTTGCATATTTTTAATCTTCCTTCAGCGGGATTCGAACCCTTACTTCTGTGACATCTTGGCAACACCGCCTGCACCGTGTCCAGTGCCCTAGACCACACGACCACCTAGGCTACATAAAAATATAGCTTTCGGTGGTCGATGTAATGCCTTTCCTCGTCCTTTTTATCTAGGGTTGTAACACAGTACATGATGTATAGTGGCAAGTAGATGGTGTACCTTTCAGGTCAACTATTTTGTCTGTCGTAAAGGATGATAATGATAATTACCATGCCGCCACATGAAATTTTTATTTTCTTATACACGTCTAAACATGTGACAACTTTATGACAGACATTTTCCATCGGATAACACGTGTTTATAAAGGGGCTAACACCATAATATATATATGATTCGTCTCAAATTTAGCCCAACAATGTTAGATCTTCAAATTTGCGTTTACTCAGCAAATTTTTGTTCTTCTACCATCTACTTGCCACTATACATCATACAATCCTAGATAAAGCCGACGAGGAAAGGATTTAAATCGACCACCGAAAGCTATATTTTTATGTAGCCTAGATGGTCGTGTGGTCTAGGGCGCTGGACACGGTGCAGGTGGTGTTGCCACGATGTCAGAGCAGCAAGGGTTCGAATCCAGCTGAGGGAAGAACAAAAATTTGCTAATGTTGGGCTAAATTTGAGACGAATTATATATATATATTATGGTGTCAGTGCTGTATAACCACGTGTTATCCGATGGAGAATGTCTTTCATAAAGTTGTCACATTTTTAGACGTGTATATATAATGCAGTTTGCATCACAGGTATTTTTTTTCAATGTTTGACTTTATGATCCACTGTTTAGAGTTTACTTCTGTACGACATTTGACAACAATTAAGATATATAAATGATGCATTTCAAAATGATTAGAAAACGATTCAGTTTTTATTTATGATTATCAAACAAAATAGTAAGCCAATCAACAGTTTACAAAACACTATATAGAAAACTAAAGACTGGGCAACACGAGCCTCACCAAAATCCGAGGTCGATATCATTTTACGCTCAATTGTTAAGCAGATCCAGCTCCACTAGTAGCACCCATCAATATGCACAAGTATACGTGATAAGTCACATTTAAAGATGTTGCAATCGAGACATGGTGGCTACCACAATTAGAAAAATAATGTTTTTCCTTATTATTAACGCCATGAAAAATGACTTCATTAATTTTCATTATCTCAACTTAACCCCTTCTCAATGAGAGCATGTTAGAAGAGTAATGGGGAAATTTGGTTAATACATGTCAGCCATTGATTGTCTAAGTAATGCCATCACTTACATGTAGGATATTTTAAATACAAAATGTCGTTTCTAACGCTGAATTAAATATGAATGATGAATAATTTCAATCCTTTCAGAAGACCAAACATTTCTAGGCATAAGAAAAGTAATTAATAACTGTAGATATAAACATGGTACCTGCCTAGTATAAAAAAAAACTTACATGTGAACACTCACAGACATACCCCATTCCATTTGATTTGCATGATACATCATTCCATTGATACTTAGCGTCTGACCAAAAACTACCACAATCTTCTGATTGATTATTTCCAATATTGCTTGGTTGGCCTGGATACCACTGAGAATAACGAACCTTAGAAGAATCATGAACCCATCTCCATTCGTCTTCTTTCTTCAAGTCTGCCAGTCCCAATCCAAGAGCCATATTTGTGCTTAACTGATTCTGTTTCACCAATAACAAACACATATTAGAGTAAAATTTGTCAGTTTATAAAGGGGCAATTATGTATGCAAATCAAAATGAACTCAGAAGTAAACTTGTTACGTCTCCGTATTTTATATTCTCTTTTATTTATTGTCTGTGTAACCAGATTTATAACAATACACACGTTTTCTATTGATATAACAACCAAAAGTTTTTTTTGGGAATTCGGTTAAATTTCAGAATTGTTTACCGTTAAGAAATTTGAATTAATCAAATCAAATCAGATCAATTTTATTGTCATTAAACATTTACAGTATGTGTGTGGCAATACAAATTTAACCAAACAATAAACGACAAAATAACAACAAGACAGAATACAAAAAAAAACATAAGTGATAGATTTACAATATTACAATATTTAATTAATTATTTGTGAACCCTAAAACTTTGCTTAACTGACAGAATGTTTAAACTCGTGTCTTCATTTCTGAGTGCATTACAATAATAATGATAATGATAATAATGTTTTAATTATGTCATTTAAACAGTAGTGTTTGCAAAGATTTTGTATCACGGTCATCTTTAGTTAAAAAAAAATAACGATAGTTGGATACTTCCAAATAAACTAGAGGCTCTCAAGAGCCTGTGTCGCTCACCTGATACTGCTTTGGTTTTGGAAATCATGTAAAAATAGATTAAAATCATAACAGATACCCTAATAATGATTGAGGCCAAGTTTGGTTTAATATTGGCCCCGTAAGTTAATCAAAAGCAGAAGACTTTTGTAAAGTTTACAAAAATTACCAATAAATTCATTGAAATTGTAGAAAATTACTTTATAAGGACAATAACTCCAACAAGATGTCAACTGACAATTTTGTTCATGTTGACTTATTTGTAGATCTTCTTTTCTTGATATTTTTGCAGTTTACAGTATATCTAAATCTATCAAGATACATGTCTTAAGGTAATTTCCTTAAAATGAGAAATAATTGCAAAATTTGTTCGACCCCAGGGCCTGTATTATGCTGGAAATCTTTAAATCTTCCCATAGGGTCTTATGTTAAAACTAAGTCCCCTGCTGGCGGCCATCTTGGATGATGGTTCGGCTACAAAATAACAACAATTGGTCAGCACCTCATTAGAAACATTCATGCCATGTTTGGTTTCATTCTATTTAGTGGTTCTCTAGAAGAAAACATTTGTATGTATTTTCCATAGGGTCCTATCTTAAACTTACTCCCCCTGCTGGCAGCCATCTTGGATGACAAATCAGCTACAAAGTAACAATACTTGGTCAGCACCTTAAAAGAAACATTCATACCATGTTTGGTTTCAATCCTTTAACGGTTTTCTAGAAGAAGACATTTGTATAAATTTCCCATAGGGTCCTTTGTTAAACTAAGTCCCCCGTTGGCAGGCATCTTGGTTTGATGGATTTGCTACAAAGAAACAACACTTCGTCAGCACCTCATAAGAAACATTCATGCCATGTTTGGTTTCATTCCATTCAGTGGTTCTTCAAAAGAAGACTTTTGTATGTATTTCACATAGGGTCCTTTATTAAACTAAGTTCCCCACTGGCAGCCATCTTGGATGATTGATTGGCTACAAAGTAACAACACTTGGTCAGAACCTCATAAGGAACATTCATGCCATGTTTTTTTTTTTTCATTCCATTTAGTGGTTCTCTAAAAGAAGACATTTGTATGTATTTCCTATAGGGTCCTATGTTAAACTAAGTCCCTCTCTGGCGGCCATCTTGGATGATGGATCGGCTTCAAAGTAACACCACTTGGACACCACTTCATAAGAAACATTCATGCCATGTTTGGTTTCATTTCATTCTGTGGTTCTCTAATAGAAGACATTTGTATGTATTGTCCATATGGTCCTATGTTAAACGAAGTCCCCCGCTGGCGGCCATCTTGGATGATGGATCAGCTACAAAGTTACAACACTTGGTCAACACCTCATAAGGAATAGTCATGCAATGTTTGGTTTCATTCCATTTAGTGGTTCTCTAGAAGAAGTTCAAAATGTAAAAAGTTAACGAACGACGGACGCCAAGTGATGAGAAAAGCTCATTTGACCTTTAGGTCAGGTGAGCTAAAAATGAAATGAAAATAATCTCTAGCGTATTGGTCACACTTAAACCCTACCATGCACGTTAAACAGAACGGATGAACACATCATTTCTTTATACTTAACACATGTTTTATATATTAAACAGATATATGCGAAAAATCAATATTTTAATGTAATAAGGTTAGCGTTCCCTGTAAATCAAAAGTTAAATATATTATCAAACCAATTGTCATTTGTTAAATAATTTAACTAGCACTAGATGGTATTATTATATATTTTGGTTGGAAAGTGACCAGCTGGATGTAAAGTGACTTATAGAGAGAACACGAAAACATATTGGGTTGGGAGAAAATGTTGAGTAGCTTGAACACTATACCATTTTCTTTAATTACTGTAGGTTTTTTGTAACTTCACTTTTTCCAAAGCTCTATCATTTTGTTTTAGTCACATAATTAGCTTTCCCCTTGATTTAATCCGTATATTTGACCACGTCGGTTTGAAAACAATCATGGTGTGAAGTAAACATGTATTGTTTGGTATATCTTCGAACTTATAGAACTTGATATAAAATACACTGTAAATGTTGGCAATGTATTTGTTGATACCGCATATTACCTTAATTCAAATGTCAAGATATCATCACTCTTTCCATGAATTTTGCTTTAAATTCTAAAATTTGTTTTTACACACTTTTTGTCTACTTTGTAATTTTTTTAAATACAGCTGTGTTCCAAAAATGTAATAGTGACAGTGTGTCTTATCATAGGTATAAAATAAACTTGCTAGTTAGCATGTCAACGACCCACGAGTTTTCTGCTGAGTCTGTAATCTTCGCAAGGTAGCCTCCCATACGTTTACATTGTTTCTGGAATGACAGAAATAGAATGGTATACCCTGGACATTAACAAAAAAGTATAACAAAAATACTGAACTCCGAAGCAAATTCAAAAAGGCGGAAGTCCATAAGAAATGACAAAATCAAACGCTATCAATCAACGGAACAAGTGAAAAACAACTGCTAATATTCCTGACTTGGTGCAGGCATTTTCCGAAGAAAATGGTGTGTTAAATCTATTGTAATATTTAGCTAAACCTCCTACTTATATGACAGTTGTTTATAGTTCCAACAAAGCACGGAAATCATTAGTTTTAAATTTCAGTAAAAGTATAAATCTTATTTATTTGCATGCAATTTATGAAATATTTATTACATTACAAGTATATATAATTTAACGAAAAAGAAGAAAAATGCAAAATATGACTTGAAACAAAAAGGCAACCATTGTATAAGAAAAGCCTGTAGTAGTTATTGTAGTAGTAAATTTACAGAGATTTTTATAATGATCCTAAATATTCCGGAAACCGCTCACTATAGGTGTCAGACCACCAATTCACCTTCTTCTTCTTCTTCAGTTATACAACAAAACTTCAGGATACTGAAGATTACTTGTTGTTGCGCATGCGTGTTTAAATTTAATTTTCTTGTAGATGCCAAAGAACAAAAAAAAAAAAAAAAATATGTACAAATTTGACAATTTGTGCATGTATATTACATGTACAAAAACTAGTGATTAAAATAAAAATTATATACAAAAATTTAAATCAGTTGGCAGAGAACACCTTGTGTAAGGTGTGCTTTGAAACTGTCAACTGTGGTTGACTGTACTGTGGCTATAGGTAGCATGTTCCATTGTATGATGGTGTGTGGGAAAAATGACAACTTATATGTTTCCTTTGTGGTTCGTATATGTCTATAAGTATTTGGATGGTTTTGTCTTGTTCTACTGTCTGTTGGTATTAAAATTTCAGATGGTATGGCAATGAGGCCGTGAATTACTTTGTAAAATATAATAAGACGTGTTTTAAGGCGGCGTTCAGCTAATGTTGGTAGTTTTAAATTATTCATCATATTTGTAACGCTACTGGTGTTATGGTAGTTGTTACAAATGTACCTAGTTGCTCTTCTTTGAACCATTTCTATTTTTTGGGTAGCATCTTTTGTGTGAGGGTCCCATAAACTGCAGCTGTATTCTAATTTAGGTCTGACTATTGCTTGATATGCTCTTGATTTAATGTCTGTGTTTGATATTTTTAAATTTCTTTTAAGGAATCCTAAAGATTTATTGCCGTTTGAGATAATGTTGTCATAATGTAGGTTCCATTTAAGATTTGATTGTAGAGTAACGCCCAGATATTTAGCAGATGTAACAGATTCAAGAATGTGACTATGAAGGATGTAATCATGTAAATATGGTTTCTTTTTATGTGAAATTGAAAGTTTAGTACATTTATCAGGGTGGAAAGCCATAAGCCAATCTGCTTCCCACTTTGCTGCAGCGTTTAGATCTTCTTGTAATTTATCACAGTCTGATTGAGATTTGATTTCTCTATATATGATGCTGTCATCAGCAAAGAGTCTTATTTTGCTATGTGTTAAATATTCAGAGAAGTCATTAATGTAAATGAGAAATAATATGGGGCCCAGTACAGTACCCTGTGGGACTCCAGATGTTACTGGCACTGATGTAGAAGAAATACCATTTATTACAACTGTTTGTGTTCTATCGGATAAAAAAGCTTGGATCCATTTAAGTGTATTTTTCCTTATACCATAGTATTGAAGTTTGTAAAGTAATCGTTGGTGAGGAACTTTATTAAACGCTTTAGCAAAGTCCATAATGATAAGGTCAATTTGAATGTTACTATTATTACTAGATGATAGTTCTTGAATGAAGTCAATTAATTGTGATTCACAAGATCGGTTTTTTCTGAAGCCATGTTGTAGATTATATAAAATGTTGTTTTGTTCTAAATGTGACATTATGTTACTTGTGATGATATGTTCCATGATCTTACAGCATATACATGTTAATGATATGGGTCTGTAATTTACAGGTTTATATTTTTCCCCTTTTTTAAATGCTGGAGCAACGTTGGCATGCTTCCAATCTTTAGGTGTTTCCCCCGACTCTAATGACTTACTGAATATTAATGTAAGTATTGGTGACACTTGCTCTTTTAATTCTTTTAATACTCTACCGTTTATATTGTCAGGTCCACATGCTTTGTGGGGGTTAAGATTTGATAGTAATTTTGTGACTCCTGTTTTGCCAATAGATATTTGTGGCATTTCAAGATGTGGTCTAGTACCTTTGTCTGGGATATTTGTGTTAGATTCATTTGTGAAGACGGACTGAAATTGATGGTTTAAGATGTTTGCTTTTTCTTCTGTTTCAGTGATTAGTATACCGTCCTTTTTTAAAGGTGCAATACCTGTGCTATCTGTTCTTGTGCTTTTAATATAGCTAAATAAATTATATTTTGAAAAAAAAAGGTTGAATTGTGGCTACTTGCATCTCAAATGATCAGTTAAGACAAAAAATCCTTTTTTTCTGATTTTTTGGTTTCACCGCTTTTCGCTTTAAAGGTGTCAGACCACCAATTCAAAATCCCTATCTATTCAACCAAATTTTGTAAATTTCACAGCTTTCTAAATATTCTACCTAAAGTTTAACTTTCTAAATATTCTACCTAAAGTTTAACTTCATAGAAACCAGGTATATTCTGAATTGTAAAGTCTTGTATAGAAATACTTAAGTTCGGAAGACAAGTACGGCTAATGTCAAGCTACTCCAATTTAGAACGTATGTAAAAGTAGCCCTTCCCTGACTAAACATTGTGCTTTTAATGTCATTGTTTACTTTAACTAACCAACACATTTGCAGCAATGAAACTTTTGTTGAAAGAGAAATATATGTAGACTATTTTGAGCTAAAATTTACTTGTCCATGAGTTTACATTAAAAATTGAGGATTAATGCGCTCCATAGTATACTTTTTTAAGATTTCCAGAAAACCAGGGGTTATTTTAAGCCGTACTTGTCTTCCGAACTTAAGTATTTCTATACAAGTCTTTACAATTCAGAATATACCTGGTTTCTATGAAGTTAAACTTTAGGTAGAATATTTAGAAAGCTGTGAAATTTACAAAATTTGGTTGAATAGATAGGGATTTTGAATTGGTGGTCTGACACCTTTAAAGCGAAAAGCGGTGAAACCAAAAAATCAGAAAAAAATGATTTTTTGTCTTAACTGATCATTTGAGATGCAAGTAGCCACAATTCAACCTTTTTTTTTGGCAAAAAAGTCACATATTTCAAAATTAGAGCATTAAACCTGAATTTGTTCTATTTTTAGCTTTTTCCACCCTTACAATATGCATACACATACAAATATGTCTGAAATTGATATGAATGCACAGTAAGATGTTTTTCTGGTTTTAAACATTAAAACATAGGTTTACTACCCCCCAAAAAAATTGTCGTTGTGAAGATTTTATGAAATTATTTGATTTTACCCGTTCCATCATTGCGTCATTCCATGTATTTGGCATATAGCATAGCCTAATGTAAAAACTGCATGAACTCACCCAAATCCCATAAATTGTCTCAAATGAAAGTTTTCTACCGTAAATTTTATTGACTTATAGTAAATAAAAATTGTTTCATGACCATAACTGCATTATTGATCAATTACTAGACTAAGTCCATTTCTGACACCATATGAAAGAAAGGAGGATCAATATTCATTGACACTTCAATACCTTTGATTTTTTACTAAACTTATTGTAAAAGTTGTAAAAATTCTTTAAAGCAGTAGGACAAACAAGGAAAAATCAACCGAAATTGATCTTGATTTTGAAAGTTTATGTTGCTGTAGTCAGAAATAAAATTTTAAGTATTTTCTATTCAAGTCATACATTACAGTCAGTTTAAATTGAGCTGTGAATTTTGCAATATAAGTCACATAATGATAAGATATGATTTTATCTACTTCACATTGACCAAGGATTAAGAATAAAGCAAAACAAAAGACTTCTGATAAACTTTTATGTCTCTTTAGGTGTCAGACCACCAATTCACCCACTCCAATTTAGAACGTTTGTAAAAGTAGCCCGTCTTGACAAAAAAATTGTGATTTTGATGTCATTGTTTATTTAAACTAACCAACAAATTCGAAGAAATGAAACTTTTGTTGAAAGAGAAATATATGTAGACCATTTTGAGCTAAAACTTACTTGTCTATGAGTTTGAATTAAAAATTGAGGATTAATGCGCTCCATGGTATACTTATTTAAGATTACCAGAAAACCAGGAGTTGTTTTTAGCAGTACTTGTCTTCCGAACTTTAGTATTTCGCTACAAGACATTAAACATAGGTTGAAAATTGGCTTGTAGAAAGGTGATATATGTACAATACAGGATATACCTGGTTTCTATGAAGCTTATCTTAAGGTTAAATATTTAGAAAGCTGTGAAAATTGCAAAATTTGGTTGAATAGATAGGGATTTTGAATTGGTGGTCTGACACCTATGGCCAATATCCTTGCAAAGGGTCATTTCTTTTAAAAACATTTCAGACATTAGAACAAATATTAGGCATGTGGGTGTTAAGTAGAGTCACCTTAATAGAATAACTGACCCAACGCCTAATAAATGAACGAATATCGATTGATAAAATTTAATTGACCAGTTGCAAGGAAACGTGTGAATAATTTTCTATGTAAGTATAAATAAAAAAAGTTACTTACTGCAGCATTGTGCCATGTTTTACTATCAGGTGAAAAAAAGTAGCAGTGATCTTTGTATTTCTTCCAACCACCTGGACATTTGTTTTCATTGGCACTGCACTTACAAGAATTGTCTGTTAGAATAAATATGATAAGTACTATATCAAGAACTGTGGCTCAATGTTAAAATGAACATATGCATTATACATAGTTTAAAAAAAAAAAATTCAAAACATTTTAGTTTCTTGAAGTATTAAAGTGATTTAGACGCACAGCAACACGTTGAAAACTAAGTTAAAATACAAGTACCCTTCCCCTACCAAAACATATTAATAATAACCTTAATTAAAATAATAAAACAACATTATATCAAACTAATTTCTGTAATGATTGTCCAATTTTGTACCAAAGTGAAGCTTGATTTTCTTGTGTATGTGTAATTTTGTTAAGTTTCCACAGATATAAAGCATATTTACCGTTTATCTTGTTTTCTAAGGACTCAAGTAATGACCGCATTTCAGATATCATTGTTCTCTCTTGGGATCTATTACATGTTGTTGACTCGATCATAGAAATACAACTCAGAACCATAATTACCGAGAGGAACATACTGTAATTTAAAAAAAATAATCAATTATAATTAAAAAAACAAATTAGAGTAACAAAGTGCTGAGATAGAATTGGATTATCGTGAACCAATAACATAACAGACAAAAGATATTTTTTTTGAGCAAATAAGGTCTGTTGTATACTTAATACTGGTTTGAAATGGAATTATAATATTTTTAAAATTTCTTATTGATTTTAAATGAATTCTTGAATTACTATTACTTACATTAAAATATTGACAAGTGTGCTTTATATGCAATTATAGTTCATCTAAAAAAAAATAACCGAAAATTGGCACAGAACAGTAAATTTGTCTCTTCTAGGAAGGATAGTTGGCTGGCATTAATTCAATTACTTCAGTAAAGTAATTTTTTTTTGCAGTGGCAAATATTTCATGCATTCGTAGGACGAGAACCAATTAAATTATTTTTCCAATACCAGAAAAAGGATTTAACGTCCCGCAAAGCCAAGCGGACGCCTTTCTTTAGCATGATGGGATATAACTGTCAGATTGGAGAAGTCCATGTAACCATATTTCTATACCCACGCCAATCATTTGGGTGATTTTAGACTTAAACATTGAATTTTAACTGAATATGAACATCATGTTATTCTAAATTGTCCTGTGTTTGGGATCATAAAATTTATCTTTTAGCGAAGTTTTATCGGTTGACAGTACTTTTGTTTTAATTTGTACGATTGTCAGACAATGACATTTTTATTTTCAATTCTAATATGATGTTCTTCTTTCGCTTTAGAAACAAAGCCATGTTCTAATTCCAATAAAACATGGGCTGCACGTGATTGACGTCACAATTGAAATTGCAACGTCAGCTGTGCTTTGAACAACGCCGGAAATCAAAATGGACATTTGTTTTGGTGTTGCTCGCTAGGAAATTAAATAAAATCATTCGAAATGTGAGTTTAAATGTATCTGTTCATTTGTTTATCGTGAAACGGTGATTTTCTATAACGTTTTGGCTTCATCAAATCAAAACGAATGCCTTTTAAACGCGTATTATAGGTCCGCTTCGAAGTACAAAAGTCCTAAATTTTCCTATTAGAATCAAAATAATTCCATCATGCCATGCTCTATGCTAATTTTAACATGGGTAGGCATTATAGTTGTCAACATTTTAAACCTGGCTAACGCTCGGTATAACGATATTGACAAATATAATGCCTACCCATGTTAAAATGAGCATAGAGCATGGCATGAAAGAATTATTTCTTAAATAAAAATAAAGAATAGAAAATGTAGTATGTTGCCAATGAGAAAACTCTCCGCCAAAGACCAAGTGGCGTAGAAGTAAGCAACTATATGTCGCCACATAAGGCTTTCAACAATGAGAAAAACCTATACCGCACAGGAAACTATAAAAGGCCTCGAAATGCCAAACGTAAAATAATTCAAAGTAGAAAACTAATAGCGTGATGTACATACAAAACAATAAACGAAAAACAAATAAGATTTTATATAACATGTTTCAAACATAATAAAATCCACATCAAGCGTATGATCTAAGTTAATACCGACACAGCAGACCAAAGCCAATAAACTAATAAAACCTTAATGCGTTGACCTTAATAGACCAATTGATAAGAGAATTACTGGCGTGAACAATGATTAGAGATATACAACTAAATATAAATAAACCTTAACCGCAGATAATTGATAGCTATTAACGACCACTCTTATAAGAACGATCACAGACACTATACCATAATTACAAAAGTAGTTATTGTTGATATAAAGCCTGTAAACGTCCAGCAGGAAGTATTTCAAGATACCCAGTCTGATATTGTTGAAGTACTGAGATATAAAACATGATAAAATAATTATTTTTATTATGCAAATATGTGGGCTTAATAGCAACACGTTATGTTACAGAAAACTTCCTTGGCGTCATTGAATAAAAAGCGATGAATGTAAACTAACTGACGCCAACACTATACTTAACTATCCGAGCAGTGTGCGCGGCACACTGTGTGAATGCTTGAGGATATTTTTTCTCTAGTATCATGTAATTCACTCAGCTCCGTCATATTGTAAATCAAGAACAAAACAAATTACATGCTACCTGTAGTTGACACAAAGCACACAGTATGTACATAAAATGATAGTGTGTTCTCAGATAATTAAGGATAATTTGCCGCTAAAATACTGTGCCTGAGCTAGCCACATATATTTGACAGAAATGCGTCACCATAGGGGTATTTGCATACACGTGTGTGTACGTCTACCACTCTACTTGTCTCAGAGTACTTTAGCAAGCCGTTCCTGAGCGGTATAGCCTTACTTGATTTTCCACGTGGTACCGCATAAGAGTAAAATTAATCTTTGTGGGCATAGACCGACGTGAAATAGAGCTGTTGAGCAATCAAGATGAGACTATTCCTCGTTAAGGTACGTAGGCACCCTAACTCCTCAGAAAATGTTCATAAATGTCTGGCCTTAAAATTTATAATAGTAACATAACGTGAACCATAAAGGCACAACATCTTCGTAAAAATTCGGCGGTTTTGGGTCGGCTGGAGGGTTGATTTGAATATTGCACTGCTACTGCTACTACATTGTAACTAATTAATGCAACTGACTGAATAAGCCTGACAAAGATTGAAAATTAACACGTGCACCAAGTTCATGAGACGGTTAAGAAAACATTGCCGTCTCTACCACAGACATCATAAATCTAGTAATAAAATGTGTATTGTCCACCTAAATAAATAATGGATTTTGACAGAAGCCGAGTCGGACAGAACATGAAACACTAATATAAACATCAATTAAAAATTTCTAAATACAGCACCAAACGACAAGCATATGCCAAAACCTGATTTTTTTGAAAGAAAGCGATAAGAATTTTTATACTTCTAAAAGGTATACGTATATAGCAATTAAAAAAAAATGTTTTGTGCATGTGTTATCAGAAAAAATATTTTATCGCCTGTCATAAATCTACGTTGATTGGCCTGTGTATTTGTATCTTTTATTACGAACAGAACCGATTGTATGGTTTATTTGTGAAGGGCTGTTTATCGGGTCGCATAGAAATACATGTACCAAGCAACCATTGAGTCGGTTACATACATCACAATTAACCATTTATAGGTTCGCTCTTTGCGTGCATAGAGTGTGGTATTAATAAATGAATTTTCATATGCATAATTAAAAGCAACTTCTTTTGGGTAAAATACACATATTATGCAAACGAATATGAAAGTACAGATATAAATTTTATGGTTGTATGTTCTAATTTCTGGACATTATTCTTAATTGATTATTAAAGAAAATATGAATAAGTACTATGTGAAAAATTTATAGCATACCTTATTAGCATATATGATCTAAACAAAACTGCTCCTGAATATTTGACTATGAAATAGAAACAAAGCAACCTGTTCGTGTTTAACTGTCTTTGATCCACATGTGACCATATCGTATTACGGTTATATAATGTAATGCATGTATATAAAAATCCGATATAATTATCCGATTTTTTTTTTCTGTTTTTTTTTTTTACTTTGCTTGCTTTTTTTTCTTTCTTTTCTTATTTTGTTATTTTATAACTCACTCTTTTTAACTTCGATGTTAAGTTAAAGAATTAGAGCCAATTTTCACCATTTTTCAATCTTTAATTAAATATGCAGTTTCATAACTCCATATGTGAACTTTGAGATGTTTACAATATTATACAATTACTGTCTTTTGATGAGGTAAATATGCGGTTTTATTGACTTTTGAAAATCTGATATTCACTGAAGCCGACGGCCGAAGTGAATATCAGTTTTTCAAAGGTCAATTAAACCACATATTTACCGAAACAGAAATTGTTTTATTCCATATTCCGAGAGAAAACAATGCAATAAATGACAAATATTTACCAAACCCAATTGTACATCAAACAGTTTACCAAAACGTTACATGTAAAAGCGCGTGACGTTTAGCGCGGTGAATATCACTTTCCTCCAGGTGAATATGCTTGTTTATTCAAAATTCAATTCATATAGAGAAACCTACTTAAATAATACCAATATGGAATAATTTTCTATATTTGAATTCTTCGATTAGTTATTCTATAAATATTGTCTTTTGGGCACACATTATTTCATTTCATTAGCTAATTCCTTCAATTCACTAGTAAAATTTACAATTTTGTATCAAAATGCTTTCAACAGCAACATGAAGCACTTAATAAAGCTTTTATTTCATGTGAAACTGTTGAAATATGTTTAAACTTTTAAATATAAATGATATTAAACTTTTTAATATTCAGAAGTAAATTATAATAGTTATTTTGACCGGGTTGAAAGAATTCCCAAACCGGTTTATAGTTTGGTGATGTAGGGCGGGTGAATGGTCGGGCGGATGAATGGGCGGGCGGATGGGCAGACGGCCGGTGAAAAGTGGGTACCTAATTTGTGTAATTAACTCATTTTACAGTTTTCAACCCAGGTCTCTGAAAATTCACAGGTAGATTGCACAGGAAGTTGTGCACCTGCTATTATGAAATTGTTTGAGGAAGTTTTTCTCTTTTTCCAGAATTGGGAACGTAGTCTTTTTTCCGCAAAATTTATGAAAGAGGGTACAAGTTTTGTGTAATCAACTCCTCCTACAGTTTTCAGCCCAGATCCCTGTAACTTTGCAGATAGAATGCATATATGTTAACGTTGTGCACCTAGGCCTGCTATAATGGCATTGTTTGACAGAGGAATTGTTGCTCATTTTTCAAGACTTGGAACTTAGTCACTTTTTAAGTATTTAAATGTTCAGTAAAGAGCATTCTCGATTTTAAGAAACAGTCTGCCCAACCCGGTCATTTGAGTCTTTGAATCTATACTATTAAACGAGAAGACCTCATTTTGTGTGTCGCTTCTCTTCCTTTCCCAATAAATTAATCATCATGCCTCTGTGTCCTATAGGTACCATGCATAGTCGCATTTGTCATCCATTCTTATGATTATTCAGTTTGAATTATTTTGGGAGAAAAACGAAGAAAAAGGCGTCCGGATATTGTTTCCGTCATCAGAACGACTTTTAAAGCATACCCAAAACTTCCGATTTTAGGGAGCTACCATTTGATATTTAGGGGGGGGGGGGGGGGGGGGGGGGGCTAGGTTGAAAAATTTTGTCCTCCCTTTTTTTTTCCTGACTTTTTTTTTACATAAATTGTCATCCTGCCTTTTTTTTTTTGCAAATAATCTCATCCTGCCTTTTTTTCTCTCAAAACTCCTGTCCTGCCTATTTTTTCAAATTTTATCCTAGCCCCCCATAAAAATCAAATGGTAGCTCCCTTAAACTTTAAAAAAAGGGGGTAAAGGGTTATTTTCGTGCAACGTGTTTTGCCACTTTTTATTTCACGTGCAGCCGTAAAAAAGGTTCGTTATTCACCGTGTTTCTTGAAATAGATAAAAAGATCAACGTGCAAGAAATTTTTAATTGTTCGCTCATCGTGAAATGGCAATTTTATTTCGCGTTCTTTCGTGCAGATACCCCCCCCCCCCCCCCCCCCCCCCCCCCCCATCTTTACTCCCCTCTTTAAACATAATTTTCATAATTACTCGGGGACAGGACAATTATTTTCGCGTTATTCTGCATGTATACTATAATTATAATCCTATAATATATAGAGACTCTCTATATAATATAGCAGTGATCGCCGTGAAGAAGAAACTTGGAATTGATAGTTAATAGCAAATTATTAATACACTTTATTTATATTATATGTATGTTCATAGTAGACAGAAACGCCAAAATCATGGAATTTAACAGAGAAGAAAAAAACAAAGGACTTTGGAAAAAAAGGGAGAGGGCTTAAAATAGTTGTCCTGTCTCCAAGTGCCTATGACTCAGTTTGATACCTTTTCTGAAATTCTCCAGACATAAAATCTTTTACAAAAATTCATCCTACAACAGTTTACATACTTTCAACCAAGCTCTAAATACCCGCGATTTCGCGGGTGTGTTCTAGTTATTTTTAATATTCAGACTCCAGTAGAGTTCAACAACTTTTAGATTTTGTACCTGTAGTGGTTAGTTTTATAAACGTGCGTTTCGCTATATATTGCACTATCCAAGCATTTAACTTGGAGTAAACGTCCCAAATTCGACCAGACGTTAGAAGAGGTTGGTGCGTACGTAAAACTGGACGAATCCCACTACATTTTGTACCAGTACCAAATTAGGCTATCTAGACCATTGTGTTGTTTGTTGTTGTTCGTCTTTATTTGTATATCTAATTTTCCGAAGAGTAAAGTGTCGGTGGTCTGGTGTATTATAGGATATTTTTGTGTTTTATGTTATCTATTCTATGTACACAACGAATAGATATAATAATCAGCACTTCAAGGTAGGTGTCTTTATCAAGCTCTCAGTAACGAAATGTGAATATTATAAAATTGACCGAAAATACCAATATCTGTAATATTGAAACTTAACGCGATCTAATTAGAATTACAGATCGTGTGCCGTCGCTTCGCTTTACAAGGATCTGAAAACGCTCCATTCTACTTTTTGTTTTAAAGACCTTTTGGGGTCCACATGTTTTATTGTAATGCTACAAACCTTCAAAAATTTGGAGGCAAAATGTCATTGGTTGATTTAAGAATTGAATGCCTATTTTTGTAAATTGATTGGGTTGTAAAAGCGTTGACCGAAGTACTTTTGTGTGAACCGCTGAAGCGGAAGCGCTTCATTCTAAAAGTGTACGCACGGTCAACGCTTTTACAACCCTATAAAATTACTAAATGAAGCATTCAATACTTATAACTACATTTTTTGGCTAGGATCATGAAAACACGATTTCTATCAAGTTTTTTCTTTTATTTACCTGTGCACTTTATTGTTGAAGCTCGTGTCATCATGAATATTACATTTCAATTTGCAATGAAGGTTAATTTCATAATAACGCGAGATTGCTGTTAGCCAATCAAAATAACGTATTATAATGAAACATACATGTAATGTAATTATATCAAATTAAACAGAACAGAAAGTAGGACGGAGTGTTGTCAGATCCTTGTAAGGGAAGCGTGGACACCTTGTAATGTATAATTTGCTAATGGGACCGTCTGCTTCAACCAACAAAAAAAACAAAAAAACGGTTAAAAAAGAGATTCTGATTCTAAAAAGTTTTCAATAATTCTAACTTAGAGAAGCAGTTGCAGATACAATGTGAGTATTCTCCTGATAATGCAAGAAAAAATATTTGCTACGGGGAATCCAATCAATAACTCAGATAAAAAAAAATTTAGGCGGTGCACAATTACATTATATGGTAAAAATTCTGGGAAATTTTCACAAAAATCAATCATGATGTTTGGTTAAAGTGGTAGAAACAAAATTAGGACGGATGGACGAATGAACAAATGGACGGGCAAACGAGCGGATGAACACCCATATCACATTATGCATATATTGCCCGCTTGAAAAGAGGGGTATAATAATGCCATTTATCGCTTTTCTTTGTTTTGTTTTTTTTAAGGGAAAATTTTCTTCTCCAGCTTCTTGAGTTGCTACCGTCAATTTTTTTCTTCGTACGTATTTCAATTAAACGGATTATGGACAATGAATGATACAAGAACATTGCAAGTTTTAAAAATATATCAAGTTATTGAGATATTTTGAGTATATATATATATATGTTATACTTTTTACAAAACTGAGCCTAGAACTCTCTGTTATAAATGTCAGAAATATCCTCAGATACTACCCATCCAAATTATCAGTTCGCATAGAATTAATGTTGTATTTGTATGTTAAGCAATATATGGACAAAGCTTTGTTTGAAAAACTTTCTTGCATGGGAAAACCAAAACACCCACTTTTACTAAAGATTCAGATGTATTATAATTAATTATAGAAGATACGGTAAATATGTATCAATGATTAAGTGCAGTAAACAGCATGCGTGAATGATTAATTACAGTAACCAACATACGTTAATGATTCAGTACAGTAACCAGCATGCGTCAATGATTTAGTACAGTAACCAACATGCTTCAATGATTTAGTACAGTGTAACCAACATACGTCAATGATTTAGTACAGTAACCAAAATGCATCAACAATTTAGCACAGTAACCAAAATGCGTCAATGATTTAGTACAGTAACCAACATGCGTCAATGATTTAGTACAGTTACCAACATGCGTCAATGATTTAGTACAGTTACCAACATGCGTCAATGATTTAGTACAGTAACCAACCTGCATTAATGATTTAGTTCAGTAATCAACATGCGTCAATGATTTAGTACAGTAACCAAAATGCGTCAATGATTTAGTACAGTAACCAACATGCGTCAATGATTTAGTACAGTAACCAACATGCGTCAATGATTTAGTACAGTAACCAACCTGCATTAATGATTTAGTTCAGTAATCAACATGCGTCAATGATTTAGTGCTAGGATCA